AACCAATGATATTATTGAAATAAAAGCTTCTGAGCAAAATACTACATACCAAAGTTCACATTTCTCCAATGCAACAGAGTCTACTAATTAGAAAATAATTAGAAAATGGACATCACAAAACTGTACCTTCCTACACTTTTGAAAAAAACCCACGAAGACCAAAAGAACTCAACCTGCATAACTCAATGTTTGTCAAGGAAAACAGCACCTCATTAGCAGTCTTACAACTTTAAAGTCAAAACTGGCAACATCAACCATAGACTGCAGGCTATTTACTTCCTGCCAAAGTTACACTGTGAGAATGCTAAGTCCTACAGAGCAAATAATCTATCCATAGGAGGCAGAGGAACTTTCTCAGTTGGCCTTGGAATCTCAAGCAAGTTGGTACAGGTATGAGCTAAAGGGAGGAAGCCGCCCTCCACCGGTGGGTGCTGCTTATCACTCTCTCCTTTCTTCTGCTCATCATTGAGTCCTTCCTGACTTGCAACTTTCATAATTTCTGTGGGTAGTATAAACTCCAGTGATGGTGCAAGGCTGAAACCAAGGACAGGCTGCTCTGCTGTACCAGTTGCAAACTGAAGTATGTGACTCAAATTAAGGGTAGTCTGCCCACACCCTCCTAGAAGCTGCCACTTCTCGAACATACTTTACAAAGAGTTGATAAACTTCATTTTCTTTTTTCAGGGTATTAAAACCCTCCTCTGAAAAGTTAGGCTTCAAAATCTGAAGTAACATTTGTACACTCAACTTGCCTTGTGCTTGGGGTCTCAGGAGATGAACCAACATTGGCAGTTCCTGAAGAGCTGACAGCATTCCAAGCTCTTCTCGTCCGTGCCTAATTTGAAAAACACAAGGGTCAAAACACTCTCCTAAAGAAACAATTTGCTGCAGAATGCTCTCCTCTACAAATACAGGCAATTGTCCATTTTGAAGTATGGCAACTGCCATCATCACTCCAACAAAATAGTAATCTTGTGCTAATAATGGCCTCAAGCCACGGTCAAAGTACTTTTCTTTAATGGCTTGATTCATTGGTCTTATCCATTCCTTACGTGGCCCACCCTGATCTACACATTCCTCTCCCATGAAGTCCACCTGAAATGTGTCTATAATTTGTAATGTATTCTAGTTCACTAATCGTTGTTTCTAATATATTTGACCTGTCAACAGTAATGCAATTTGTTTCTCCCTCGATGGTTTCTTTGCAGCTTGTAACTGCTCGGCCCGTTACAATCTTTTTTTTTGCAGAAATTTAAGCACTTCTACAGGGTCAGTCAAACCCTGATCTTTAGCACCTTTGATTACTGGCTGGAAATCAAATGAACTTGAGGGTGGCTGACTCTTAGTTGTACTGAACACTGATCCTGCATTTGTATTAGAGTTATCAGCATTGGTGTCTGACGTATGTCGAGACAATTGGACACTCGCATCAGAATCTTTCGTCAAATCCATGATATTACAGAACAAGTCGTCTCTACCACAAGCATCACTTGAGAGCATGTCAGATTCAGGGAATTCAAACACAGGAACTTCTAGTTGTTTATCACTGGGATCAATCATGGATGGCAGTTCCTCCAGGAGTCTTTAATAGATCCAACCAGATGGAGATATCGATTTCAGCAGCAGCTTTGAATCAATCTCTTTTCCTGCCTGGATGTTCGGTCTTAACAAAGTAACACCAGAGTTCTTTACTATTTCGAATTACAAGCCCTTCATTTCACCTGTCAATAATTTCGCTAACTCTTGGTGAAGTTCTTTGGCATCCCACTTTCTATCAATGTCAACGCCCGATGTAATTCGTCCACTTCTCTCTAAATCAGGCTTTTCTGCTTTCGTCGGTATTTTCTCTCTTCCCATTTCTATTATCATAACATCCTTTGAAACTATCTCAGATATTAACGGTCGACCAGCAGGACGCCTTACATTCTGAACGACTGGATACGGCCGCGAGCTAGAATTAGAAGGTCTTCTGTATCTTCCTCTTGAAACTGTCGGAAACCTCCTCTGTAATTCTGTCGGTGCGCTATTAGCTGGCTGGGTTTGGCGAACGAAAGTCTTCTCCGATGCTGTTTGTTGACGTTCGTTACTAGGAAATCTTGTCGTTGATGGTCCGTGCTCAATTAACGAGCTTAGCTGATTAATACTGTCTATTGCAGCTTCTGCAATATCTTTGGCTTGTTCGGGAATCGAAGGGGCCGTCGCCATCTTTGTTTGGCAGCACACAGTAAAGAACTACTGCAAGGTGTTATGGGTAAAGGGATTTTGAGAAACAATCAAAATTAATTACACATACAAAATTAATTACAAACACAAAATATTTAATTAGTCCATTAAAAATATGATTTATAGAAACGGTAAAATTAATTTGGCGGTTAAACAAAATGCTTTTAAGAAACATACAAATATAATTACAAACACACCCAAAATTAATTACAAACACACACAAAATTAATTACAAACACACACAAAATTAATTACAAACACACACAAAATTAATTACAAACACACACAATATTAGTCTTCTAAAAATATAATTAATAGGAATGGTAAAATTAATTTTAGCATAATTTAATCTTTCTTTTAATTTCCTCATCCATCTTTGGCCACCAAACACAAGTACGGGCAATCGATTTCATTGCACAAATGCCTGGGTGCTCCCAATGCAATTCCTCTAGCATCTTTTCTCTAAATATTTTGGGAATGATCACCCTGGAGCCCCAGAGGAGGCAATTTTGTTCACAGGAAAGTTCATGTCGACGGGTGTAATAGGGTTTTAAATCTTCATCACAAACCTCTGGCCACCCCACCATGACCAAGTACTTTGCTAAGCAGCGGATCCATTAATGTGGCTTTCCAAACATCCTTTGCAGTTATAGGGAAATCTATGTCTATAGCACTGACATTGTAGATTTCAATCTCACTGCTAATCTTAGAATCTTCACGGGGTAATCTTGAGAGTGCATCACAGTTGCTGTGTCTCTCAGAGTTCCTGTACTCAATTTTAAAGTCCTATGCTGAGAGGACAACCGCCCAGCGCTGCATATGAACAGCTGCAAGTGTGGTAATGGCAGCTTTAGGGCCTAATATGACCAACAGTGGCTGGTGATCAGTCACTAAGGTGAACTCTCGTCCATACAGAAAATGATGGATTTTTTTTACTCCGAAAATAATAGACAAGGCCAAGAAATTCGGAAATTTCGGTTTGAAGTCAAATGGTAAGGTGATTTTCCGGAAATTCCTTTCGGAAATTGTGGAGTACCTTCAGAGGTACTCCTCTTTTGCCATTCGGAACAGAAGGTCATAAAATTCCGTTTGCAGGCCTTTCCGCTTGGTTTGCCTTCGTCCTGAAAGATGGCGTCAGTCTCTTCGCTGTACCAATGTGCAGAATGTATGTTTTCGTCAGCCACCATGGCTGACATGTTAAACCATCAGTGCCACATTTCTACGTCCCAAGGTGAAAATGTTCGCTTCTTTCTCAAATGCATTTCGAGGGTACATACCGAATAATCAAACAAAGCAATACGAGTGGAGTTTCCCCGCGATATTTAACACGTGACATTATTGTTGTTTTTTTTTTTTCCAGAGTCTGAAGACATTGTGGGGGAAGATATTTGCGGTTTAACCTTAATGCAGGCCGAAGAGGCTGTAACACCTGAAATTGTTTCACCCGATAATGTAAGTGCTGAGAGCCACAAGTTACTTGAAAGATGGGAAGACAGACATGTTCGCCTGTTGATATCGTCGTGCTCAAAATTTAAGCCCCTTTTAGGGAAAGGAAAGACCACGAAGAAAGAAGTTTTTGCCAAAATTTCCACGGAATTTAACTCGATCTCCGAAGAAAAAGTAACGGCTGATCAATGCCTTCGAAAATGGTCCAAACTAGAGATCAAGCAAAAAAAAAATAGAAGACAATAACAAACAAACAAACAGGAAAACCTCGAAAATCATGGAAGTTTCATGATGATATGAGTGAGTGTATGGGGTCGTCCAAAGCTCAGTCCGAGATTTACCTTTGACACCTCTTCCTCTAGTTCAAGTGGCACAAACCAGTGTGACAGGGATGGTGACTATCATTTTGAAGATCATTCAGACGAGTCAGGTACTGATGAATCAGGAGACGAAAACCAGAGGAAAAAGAAAAAAGCAAAGCTTCCAACCAGGAAAAGGAAGAGCAATTCATCTGCAGCTGAAATGCTGCAATTCCTTCATTCTCACAGTGAGAAGAGGGAAAAAGTGGAGGCAGAGAAATTAGCTTTAATGAAAAGTATGAAAGATGAGAAAAAAGAATTTTATTCTCATTTCCTGGAATTGTTAAAAAATAAATAAGCACTACCTGTAGCAAATTTATTTTAAGTTTACTATTGAAATTGGAAATTTCTTACAAAACACAGGTCATTGTTGTCTTTTAAATTGAAACACTGATATCACTGATGTCAAAGTTTTTCTCTGCCAGTCTTAATTTGTTATTTAAAACATTTATTTGAAGACTTTCTGGTTTAGTTGCCATTATTAACCAAAGCATTGTTTTTCAAAACAAAGGCATTCTACTGTGGCATGTTGTGTTTTTGAAAGTTTTAATATTGCAAACATTTGAATCAATAAATAAGTAACAAGCTTTATTTTTGTATTACTACTAAGATTACAAATATCAATGACTTTAATTTACTTGACAAAGGGAAGAGATAATTAAATTTTACATTTCATTATCTGATGTCGCATATTTATTATCACCACACAGTCACAGCACTGTAAGGAACAACTTTTTGATCAGGTAAAGGAGGATGACTGGTGATATTCAGAAGAGGGTAGGGGGGAAAACAACTCTGCAGTTCATTAATTTATGATAAAGCTTTGTAAAATTTTATGAAATTGAATTTTCTGAAAAATTATCTGTCAAACCACTCTAGTTAGGGCAGGAGTGGACTCTAACCCAAGATTTCTACCTATTCCCTTTGCTTTAGCACCTCCCCTTGCCAATAGCTGATTAACTGATGGTTCTGTTAGATGCGGTTAGCATATGTAACAGCCTTCAAATTATTTCTCTTCTGTTGGGCTAATCTGTCATTTCGTCCAGCGATACCATTGTCATTACCACCATCATTGTCACCATCATCCTCATTGTCAAGCATGTAACCTTCATCAAAGTCATCATGTATAAGGCAAACATTGTGGAGAACACAGGCACCAATGATAAGCGGGACTATTAGTTTTAGATTAAGATGGTCAAGATGTTGTAGCTTTCGCCACCTTCCCTTGAGAAGCCTGATTGATCTCTCCACAGTCTGCCTGTTTGATGAAAGAACAGAATTGAAAAACCTTTCATCGTCAGTGTGCTGGAGGCTTCAACAACAAAAACCTTCACAGTAGCAAAAAAGTCGGAAAGAAAAAGAGATACTAGAAACAGAAACAATAAAACATATAAAATTCAAAGACAGAAACATGTACCATTTGGCCACTTGATTTTCTCGGCGCTGATATCCGCTAGTGCTTGAGTTACTCTATGCAGCACTCTATCCACACTGCTCATGTTGATATTAAATCTATCAGCGACGAGTCTGCTGGGTTCTTGATTTGCCATTGACCATAAAAATGTCAACACTTGTTTGACAGGAGGAATTGGCAGCCTCCCTCTGGTATTTATAGCAGGAATCTTTCCTGTGTTCATAATTTGTCTGCACAAGGTCTCGCAAGGGCCTCTAGTCATTCGAAAATGACTGCGAAATTCACTCGGTGTGTAGCTGGGAACAGTTACCTCAAAATAATCTTGTATTCTGTTTAAATCGCGTCTCATGAAAACAGCTCACGGCACTTAACACCATGAGTTCATCTTCGCCCTCGAAAAGTTCATTTTCAAAGTCAAAATCTTCTGTTAGCTCATGTACTACAATAAAGCTTTGGTCCGCCATATTGTCAAATTTTCCCGCCGTGGAACGCAGACGTGTTTCCGGTTCCGGTTGGAGCGGGACGAAACGCCTGATGGATAAATGGTAAGCTCAATCTCATCCGGTTGGTCCATGAATTCGGAAACTCCCTTACCTTTATGCCACGGTTACACCAATCGGATTTTTCTTACAAATGGTAAGCACCCAAGGCCTCTCGTTCAAATTGGGCCTAATTTTTCTCACTTGAGCTGAGGGTACGTGAAACATATGCTATCGGCCTTTCTTGGCCGTCTTCCATTTCATGACTAAGCACTGCCCCCAAACCATAACTCGATGCGTCACAAGCTAACTTAAGCTCACGATTTAGATCATAGTGGACCAACAGCGACTCACTGGTGAGGCCCTCCTTGCATGCCTCGAAAGCTTTCTGGCAGTCATCTGTCCATTCCCAACAAACATTCTTCTACAAAAGCCTATGCAGAGGTGCTAACATTGTAGCTAATACTGAACCATGCCCAGGAAAGATCTTAATTCACTTACATTTTGTGGCGCTGGGGCACTTTTCACTGCACTGATCTTCTCCTCCACCGGTTGCAGGCCTTCGGCACTTATTCTCAGACCTAGGTAAACCAATTCAGGCTTCAAAAACTCACACTTTGGTAGTTTCAAGTGCAAGTTGTATTTGTGCAGCCTGTCCAACACCTTAGCAAGTATCTTGAGATTCTCTTGCCAATCATCTCCCCCTATCAAGATGTCATCTTGTTTACAAATACACTTCTCAAATCCTTGAAGAATTTGATCCATTTTTGCTTGAAAGATTTTTGGGGATGACTTGACCCCATAGGGCAATTTCTGGTAGGAATAAAGGCCTTTATGAGTGGTAATTGTCAAGTATTCTTGACTTTCTTGGTCAACATTCAGCTGGCATAAGCATGTGATAGGTCAAGCTTACCGTATACCCAACCAAAAGTCGAGTCCCGTACAGGCCTGATTTTTTTCAGGTCTGATTTTCGCTATTGCATAAATAGCGCTATCTACTGCGAGGATCGTGCATTATACGTATCTAATACCGCAGTTCAAAATATAAGAACTTCTTCTATTCATTGTATCTCAGTCTTAGGTTTATCCCTTGGCATTATCTTATTGTAAATCCACAATCCAAGGAAATGCTATTGATATTATCTAGAAGGACTTGATTTGCTGCTGATGGACTAGATTCTCTGACTGCATGCAATCTGGGATCATGAAGTTCTCTTGTTTTTTGTTTTTTTTTTTGTTTTAATCTTTTCCATATACCTTCTTACTTAAGTCTCTTTCATACACAGAACGTGATTTCAATTTCCTTTTTCTTGGCTGGTTCCAAGTCTGCAGTCTGCTAGTACATGTTTGGTAGTCTCTGTTACCGCTGCCAGTTCTAACAAATTCTTCACGTAGGGCATAACATAGTGTTGCAATATGCTTACAAGAACCAAAGGGTGCTTTCCCTGCTGGACAAGGATTACAGCTAGCAAAATTAACTTCTCCTGCACCCCTACCAGATTTAATTATTGCAAAAAGACTTACATCGTCGAAAGAGGCAGAAGACTAGGTGACCGATTCCGAGAACACCTTCGCGACGTGGAGAGGAATGACAAGGACACATCGAAACCAGTCGCTAGACAATTTAATTTACCCAATCATTCTAAGCAACATATGGCAATCTGCGGTCTTTCCTTACACTTAGGTAGCACGGAAAGCCGCAAAACTCTTGAACAAAATTAAAGCTCATCTTTCAAACCAGCATTCCAAATCCCACAGGTATCAACGAACGCTTTTCATTCCACTAATCTATTTGTGTTTTTCTCGTTGCTATGATCCCACCAATCACGTAGCTCCTGTTTCTGCTTTTAAAAGTACACACAATCCACAATTCCTCTATTCACTCCGACGAAGGGCTAACGCTCGAAACGTCAGCTTTTATAACCGTAACGGTGGCCTATTTACCATTTCAACTTTGTTGATACATTCAAATTCATCACAGAAAGACAAATTTTGTATTGAGATTTTTCTTCATTTCAGGTATAAGTATTCACATTTTATATGAAATAGGTTTGCATCTTCATCCAAAGCAACCTCAATTTTCTGAACATGTCCATGTTTGAAAAGACCGAATGTCTCACTATTTATAATTTCTTGTAATCTTTGTTTCCTTTATTGTCGCATACTTTTCGTTCGATAAAATAATTCAACATCTTTTCAATAGTAAACAAAGGAAAGTTTTCTCGGACTTGTATGAAAGGCTGCTAGTTTGCCGCTTGTGGAAATTCTGGCGGTTTTTTTTTCCGAATTGGCGGGAACAGAATGAGAGGCATCTGAAATGTCAGGTCGAAGGTGCTTATATTTGTCGATAAAATCGTTTTCCCAGCCACTCTTCAAGTAGCTTACAACTCTGAAAAGTGAAAAAGCTACGTCAGAAAACAATTCCCACTACACCAGAAAAATCGAAGTGAGACAAAATGCTATGTGCAACAAAATCACACAACTATTAACGCAAATATTTTACAATCAGGCTAAGATGACATCATTTCCTATGCAGTGTTTGTGTTCTCTCGCCCGATAGCCTCGTTTGCGTGTATTTTCACGCAGATACCGCTGTACCATAAGAATGACTTCCGGAACTATAATAACAACTATTTGTCATGGCCCTTTGCGGGCTCCGTACAAGACTAATTTGTAGTGCAGAAAAGTAAAATGTGAAGTAAACCGTAGCAAAAAGTTGAGAAAGGTCGACTAAATATGCAGGCTGTACCTCTGGCCGGTAGTATTTTCTAAGCCTCCCGAGATCCCACGGTTAGAGGTACAGGACAATATATTTCATCATGTAACCAGTAGCACTATGAAAAGGGCATTACAGTGGCGATGCTATTCATAAGTTTTGTTTACCTTTGCAAGTGTAGGTCCTAGCGGCTACAGTGTCTGTTTTAAAAGTTGTTCCTTTGTATAACCAATAAGGCATTAAAGGAGCACTGATGAAACCGCTTTATAATTTGAAAACCCGAAAAATTCAGTTATTTCATTCTAATATCAATTTTTAGTGATTAATAAAGCCTTTTCAATAACAGTTTTAGTTGAAAGTCAATTCTAGGGCGAGAAATTACGATTTGAAAACCGTTCCGCAATTAATTTTCGTTATCACTTCGTATTGAGGGTCTTTCTGCTGAACCCATTGGAAGGTTGTTTCCATACCATAAAATGAGTTGTTCAAAAATACAGATCTTTTAATCTGGAAGCCACGTCTTTTCTTGAGTGAAAATAAAAGAAATCGTAATTTACATATCTTCTAGGGGACATTACCCCTGTTCGTGAAAATTGTATTTTTATCTCCTCTTCCTTCTCATCCCACAACACATCACAATCACAGTGCCACTGTACAAGAACTGTAAGATATGCTTCTGGGTTTTCAATATCCGAAATTGAAATACACGGGGCGTAGTAAGGGCTAAAGCCAAGACAATGTACCAACAATAACACATTTTCAAGATAGTGAACATTTTTCAATTAAGATATTTACAAAGTCCATTGTAGCCCGCAGTTAACATGACTGTTCTTGATGGGCTGCTAAGACTACACTTAGTAGACAATTTAATTAGCTCGCAGCACTCGGGTACCTGCATGAATGTATGGTGGTCCTTTTTTTGTAGTTCTTGTCTTTGGTTTGGGAAAGGAACAAATGAAAACGTGTCACAAAACGCGATATATATATCTCATTATACGTTTTGTTGTGTAGCATCGCTGAGTATTTTTACAAGTTGTGCCGTGTTTTGACGAGCCCGTAGGGCGAGTCAAAATACAAATAACGAGTAAAAATACTCAGCGATACTGCACAACGAAACGTCTAATAAGTTATTTATTATCCAACACGCCAAATTGTTATTTCAGTGCCGGCGAATTTCGCGGATATTTACTTACGGGGAGTGCGTGACAGAAGTATGCGAAGCGGAACGGAATTGGCGCGTTGTCGTGTTGCTGTTTCTATTTTCTTCAATAAATGAAGAAATTTCCTGGTTGTCTAGCTGTTTTTCTTCGTTCGATTCATCTAAAAAACTTGGATTTATATTTGCCAGCCATTCCGACTCTTCGTCGTCGGAAATATGATTCAAATTGTCCGCTAATTTTTTTTTCGTAACTTCAATCCAATGCTTCGCTTGCGCGATGCGAGAAAACCTGTCTAACCGGTTCTCTGGAGTACAAATACCGCGTGATATTTGTACTCATTTGTATTCATCTAACAAACTTGGATTTATATTTGCCAGCCATTCCGACTCTTCGTCGTCGGAAATATGATTCAAATTGTCCGCTAATTTTTTTTTCGTAACTTCAATCCAATGCTTCGCTTGCGCGATGCGAGAAAACCTGTCTAACCGGTTCTCTGGAGTACAAATACCGCGTGATATTTGTACTCGTCCAAGGCGTTATTTGTACTTTACGGAGTGTAGTTGGATAATAAAACTCTGTATGTGTGAGTTCAAGTTCCATTGGGTAGAATCGGCGTATGCAGCATCCAACAGGGTACGGCCATTTTAATCCAGGGCGGGAAGATCAGGTGCCAGTTAAGCTGAACGTCGACGATCTGCTACAGAATAAGCCAGACAATGTCGATTAGGAAATTTCAAAGGTCAAGGCCTCACTGTCGAGATCTAACTTGCGAAAAGAAATGTTGTAACCTACGCGGCATTCAACAGAATAACCATTGACACTGACGTTGGATAGCTAGATCCAAATGTTGAATAAGTTATTTTTATACAATTTTATATTGAAATGTGCCAGTATCTGTTTTAATCTTAATATTATAAATCAGGAGTTTTAGTGAGTGACCAGTTCAACCAAAATGTAGAAAATGTCGACTTTGGTCAGCTCGCTTCAGCTTTATAATAACTAAACGCAAGCTTAAAACACGATTCCGGTTAACACGGCACTAAAGCTCACCTTCTAACTACATTGACAACAGAAGATGTTGCCTCACAACCTTCATAAATTACTTTACAAAAATAAGTCCCAGGTTCCTGACCTTTATGACACACATGTTTGCTCCATTGTCAATAGCTTGATCGTTTTGAAACCAAACATAAGACAATCCCATTTTGTTGTGCACGCTGGTTATGACTCCCAAGAATAACGATCTGTCATCGTGACCATTGATAGTATCGGGGCCATGAAGAATTGTAGCCTAACCGCTGGAGATATTTCCTGATGCTGGAAATAAGAAAGATCCGTCCAGAGATCTTTCTAGATATGATTTGTCGTTTATCTTTATAGCACTAACAACAAATCGATCGGCCAACGGGTTATAAGTCTCTTCATCTATTGATAAATATTCGTGTGAGCGAACATGAAAACTTGATCCCCAGTCTGGTAAAAGAATAATGCTGGGTTCTCCCGAGTAAAGGGAGTACTTAATATTCATCAACTCACAATCCCAAGAATTTTCAATCCCTTCAACAAACAGTCGAAAGTGATTCTCCAAAGACTCATGCAGTCTCTCGTCGTCTTTCCACGGCGCCTCTAATTTGTCCATTCGAAAACCGTGTAAAGAAACTTAGAACATCGAAGAAATGCCGGTGCGAATATACAAACTTTACATGCCCGTAAACAGCAATGCATGCTGGGATAACCAGGGCGCGCAAAGGATCGCGGCAGCAGTAGGCTGCCGAGCGCTGCCCTAAAAGCGATTTGAAATTTGAAATTTGAAATTTGAAATTTGAAATTTGAAATTTGAAATGAAAAACAAAGTGAAATGGAAAATATAAAGTAATGAATTTTTTGCACTGGAAGCCCTCGGCTACCTTAATGATGTCGCACCTAAATGAATCGACAAATTAATAAACAATAAATATGTAAGTAAGATAATAAAATTGGAAATTTGGGCACGGTTGGGGGTGGTCAAGGGGTAGACTTTATTATTTCTTGAGCCCGCAATTATGACTACCCAGCATCGTCACCAGAGAAACAAGATGGCGGCACGATTGCGATCAATGTTAGTGCGTGTCTTCATGAAAGACATTATTCCTGGTGCTAATGCACCGAAAATAACTGTTCCCAATGGTATCGTATTTCTGCATCAACCTCCGATTTCAGATGGAGTTCCCATGATTTCAAACTTTGCTCTGAAACTGGAAACTTACCTTCGAATGGCGGACATCCCTTACTAAAATTCTTTCGTGCCCAAGAATTCTTCCAAAGGAAAAATACCATGGATCGAATACAATGGAAAGAAGATGGCCGATTCTAACTTTTGCATTTCGTTTCTGAATGAAGAATTCAAAGTTACTTTAGATAACAAGCTCAGCAAATCAGAGAAGGCTGTATCTCATGCTCTCAAAAGTATGGTGGAGGAGAACACTTATTGGTAATTATGTATGTTTATATGTCTAATTAAAGGGGGTACCTAACGCTTAAACCATCTTATTAAATAATTTGTCCCCTTGCTTTGATAATTAATCTAAATTCAATTGACGTTAGACAAAATGTCAGTATTCTACCTTCCATTAAACCTTTGACTCACTGGAATGATCAGTATGTAAAATCTATTCAAATTACCACTGAAATGTTGAAATATACCTTCAAGCTTAGAGGTACTGGGAATTTAAATAATCAGAGAGTAATACTGTCTCGACATAACTCCAAGTTCCTTGGAATAGTTAGCTGCAAAATTCACTGTCATTAGTTGACAGTTTTATTTTTTCTTCANTTTGCTCTGAAACTGGAAACTTACCTTCGAATGGCGGACATCCCTTACAAAAATTCTTTCGTGCCCAAGAATTCTTCTAAAGGAAAAATACCATGGATCGAATACAATGGAAAGAAGATGGCCGATTCTAACTTTTGCATTTCGTTTCTGAATGAAGAATTCAAAGTTACTTTAGATAACAAGCTCAGCAAATCAGAGAAGGCTGTATCTCATGCTCTCAAAAGTATGGTGGAGGAGAACACTTATTGGTAATTATGTATGTTTATATGTCTAATTAAAGGGGGTACCTAACGCTTAAACCATCTTATTAAATAATTTGTCCCCTTGCTTTGATAATTAATCTAAATTCAATTGACGTTAGACAAAATGTCAGTATTCTACCTTCCATTAAACCTTTGACTCACTGGAATGATCAGTAGGTAAATTCTATTCACATTACTACTGAAATGTTGAAATATACCTTCAAGCTTAGAGGTACTGGGAATTTAAATAATCAGAGAGTAATACTGTCTCAGCATAACTCTAAGTTCCTTGGAATAGTTAGCTGCAAAATTCACTGTCATTAGTTGACAGTTTTATTTTTTCTTCAATAATGACTGATGTCTGCACGTTGACAAAGTTGCTCATTTGTTTTACTGAGTGATCACATAATTGGATTGATTAACTGGTTTGAAGATGCTCAGTGTTGGAAAAAAAAATTAACTTTTTAAGAGTGGCTGTTAAGTTGAAATAAATCCAACTGAATTAAAAATGAAACCTGTGTGTTCTATCCTTCCTGTTAGGACAATGGTATACTATCGTTGGATTGATGCCACAGATTTGACATCAAAACTTTTCTTTCCAAGAGCCTCACAAAGGAAACAGGACCTCTTCTTTTCAATGTTCCAGCGCACCATGAAAGAGTACCTAAATGGGCATGGTATGGGCCGTCATAAAAAAGAGGAAGTTTATGCCATTGCAAAGAAGGACTTGCAGACCTTGTCTGATTATCTGGATGTCAACCCATTTGTCATGGGCCAGGAGCCTACAACTGTGGATGCATCAGTGTTTGGTCTTTTGGCAGAATTTGTCTGGCAGGACAAGGCCTCACCACAAAATGCAGCAATTCACAAGGATTTTAAGAATCTGTTAGGTTATTGTGAGAGAATGAAAGAGAAATATTGGCCAGACTGGGATGACACAATTGCACATAGAAAAAAATTTCATTCTGAAGCTTGAGTACCATAGACAAAGAATATTTTCCTTATTATGCATGCACATTGAGGTACACTGTGCTTGTCACATCTGATGACCCTGAACATGGAACAATTAAGTTCTTCAACCCTTTTATACCCTAAATTCAGGATCAATATTCTCCATACTTTTATGTGCATATTTCTTTTTTATTCTCTTGATCCTAATGAATGATTCAGCAGAATAGCACTGTAAGGAGATATCTGATGCTGGACACTCCTTGGGTTTAAAGATTTAACCCTTTCACCTGCAGGACCAAAAAATAGGACATCTTGTCACAATATCAATATGTTGTCCAGGAGAAAGTTTATGATAAGAAAAAGGTAAACCAGGGGATACTGTTTGATTTAATACCAAATTCCGAGAGTTGAATTTGTTGAAATATGTATGACAGGCAACGTGGAGAATTGATATTATTTTATCAGATCTTGGGAGTAATAAGGTTCAAAACTTATCTCTTAGTTGAAGGAGAAGTTTTTTTGTTGAATTGGAGATAGTTTAAATCAAGCATTTGTCACATTAAAACCAGAAGGGAAGTTTCTTTTCTCAACCTCTCAAATTGCCTACATATAAAAGAACTTAATCAAGCAATGTTTATTGGTTGAAGCGAAATTTCACTCCAAAAAAATAAGACATTGTTTTTGGATTTTTTGTACTAATGTTTTCAGTTCTCCTTTTTCAACAGTACTCTTACCAGTTTCCCATTGGCAATAGAGAAGAACGCAACATCCAAAGTGCTAATTTATGTTCAGTACCTGTACTCATGCAGATTCTTTTGTAAAATTTGCCTTTTGGTTTTAATATCCTATGAGCTGTTCATGTCTTAAAGCTTATAATTACTGTACTCATGCATGATCACTTCAGAAAGATACAATACCAACAAGTTACAATTTTTAAGATTTAAAGCACCCTGAACTACTTCAGTCAAATTTAAGAAGCCATTGAGAACATTGAAACTTTAGCTGCTTCTCAATTTTATACTTGTATTTAAGTGACTCTCAATTTCATTGTACAAACTTAATTTTTAATTTTAATTTTAAATTATTTAAGCTATTGCTTCACCATTTTATACCTGTATTTAAGTGACTTTGAATTTTACTGTAGAAACTTAAATTTCAATATCAATTGTTAGTTATTTTAATTTTTAATCAATTAGGTTTTGACAGTATGTATTAGGTTTTTTAGATTCTTAATCTTAGAGGCACGTACGTATTTTGAACGAGCTCTATGAGCTCCTTGACGCTACGTGGGTAAATAAAGTATTGATTGATTGATTGATTGAAATCTGTGTTGAGTGGCACTGTATTTAGTGGTCACCCTGTATTAAGCAGTCCCAAAGGCCTGTTTGTACTGTCATCCAACTGTATTAAAGCATAACTACTCAAATTAAATTAAGAATGATCTTTCAAGTAATATTTTATCCATGTTTCTCTCCCAAAATCAAAGTAAGTAGTATGTTTGAGTAAGATTCATTACATCAAGTGGCGTCGTGTCTGGTATTTTTATACCTCTAATCTGTGGAAACTGTATTAAGTGGTCATTAAGTATCAATACTTTTGTGCTGCAACTCTAAAGCTTAAACAGGCTGAGACTGATTGCTAAACTGCTGAAATAATATATTGGCCGGATAGATGTAAAATTGAACGGCAAGGGTAGGTTTCCAGAGGAACAGCTGCTTGGCTGACTGATCTGATTAGCTGACTGACTTTGAAACTGTAGACTAACCAACTGCCTGTTTGCAGACTGACCAAACGACAGTCACAGACTGACCAAAGGACAGGCACAGACAGAAGAAAGGACATGCACAGACTGACCAAAGGACAGGCACAGACTGACCAAAAGACAGGCACAGACTGACCAAAGGACAGGCACAGACTGACTTTCAGTTGGAATGAATAACAGAATGACTAATGGTGGGATGAAGGGACCGACAGAAAGATGAAATGTCTGATTGAGAGAGACAATTCATGATGCAATAGGACAACCCATTTGTTCAGAATACATCCATGTTTTATGTGGAGATCGAGATTTCCTTTCTTCATATTGAACTAAAGAAAATCGGATGTTAGTTAAATGTCAGCAATATTGAAACATGCCCATTTACAAAACTCTTTGAGCCAGTTATTTACACGATGTCTAACCAACGATGCACTTTTACGCAAGCAGTGGACCCCAGGTATTCCCTTTAAGAGGGTTGTTTTTATTTAATAAATGTCCTTCCACTGCTAACTTTCGACTCCTTGACACTGTTCGCAAAACTAAACGTACAGGTAAAAGATTCAGCCAAATTCAAGTTAGCTTTGAAGGTGGTTTCATCAACATCGGCTAAACTTTATTAAAATAACCAGCGACTTGAGCTACTTAAGTTTCATTATTCCTCGACAGACACTTTGCACGAGTATTGGTCAAACGTTTTGACCAATACATGTTTGTTGAAGTATGTATCGTCCAAGCTTTTCTTCCAACAATGTTGTAATAGTTTTTTTTGTCAAATATCTGCAAATGTTGTGTTAACGTTGGGTAGCTGTTGGGACTTTTTCAACTCGCCAAAGGAAAAAAAAAAGTATAATGAAATCGAAATAGACCCTATATACCAAGATATTAAATCGCGTTTTCTCAATCCGTTTTATTGCAAAATGGACGGGGAGCTAGTCGGCAGAAATTGCCACAAACTTCAAAACAAGTGCTTTCCAACGAATATACCTCCGAATTTTTGTTGAATCGATGTTGCAAATTAGACGCCGGTTTTTGATGGTGGAAAATAAGTTGGAGTCTCTAAGAGGGATTTTTAGTCCCTTCAGCGCAATACCAATCAAGCATATATGCATCATTTTTGCTGAAATCGTGTCAACTGGGTTGAGTTATGCTCGTACGCAAACTATTCGATCGATGTGATAAGGCAGGTGTGCAAACAGGCTCAGTCCATTGACCAACGCCTTTAGCTCACAATGATCAGGTGTTTTTGATGGTTGCTATTCACATTATTTTATCCTTTTTCCTATTTTAAGAAACAAACATGTTTTTTGAAGTGTTTTGTCCTCTACCTCCTATACATTTCCTTGTAAATTAGTTGACAGAATTTGTCCTTAGATCAACATAAAAACTTCTTTCTGGTAAGTTTGAGTGTTCTGTTTGCTGAATGACGTAGGATATTATTGGGAGAATTTGTATGTTAATCACTTCTGGTAGTTAAAGGGTTAAATGAGTTTTACTTAAACTTCTCAGTTATGCTAAGTAAGGAAGACAGATTGATTTATATTTTACTAGAGCAAAAAGTCGTCTAGCGACAACTAACGCTCCTGGTTAATATTCTTTAAGTTGTATCGTAGAATTAGTTAAGCCTCTTATTAATACGATTAAGTTTTCATCTAACGCTTGAAAAGCAAACACTTCATTAGCAGTTGTCAGTCGGTTTGACATTAAATTAAAAAGACAATAAAAACGTTTCCACGCCTTTTACAAACGTTCGGGTTTTTGGCGCGTTGTTAAAATTAACAATGTTGCTAAGGTTTTCAGTGTGTTCGGGTGGTATGCAGTTTGTTTAAAGTCAACAAATACAAACTCTGCTGCTTTATGAATAATTTGAGCCCATATGAGCTAAGCACATATTTAGTACAAATGGCTTTCGATGTGAACCCGGAGCATAGGTTCCAAAAATCCAAAACGCTGATAATTTTAAGGCGCGATTTTCTTGCACGTGCAACATTTGTGTCACAGAGATTTGTCTCTGTGACGTTCACAGAGCGACCAAAAGAACGTGTGCTAGCAGACACGAAATGATTTGAAAATATTGCGTGGACGGCTCAATGTGCGAAAACGGTATGATTCTGGTTACACAAGAAACTGAGGAGCCTTCCGCGAATAACTCGATATTGTTCCACAGTGATATATTATGTTCCTCGTTGGGGCTGTCAGAAGATTTAACTGGGGATGAAAACGGACTATATGAGAGCCTTAGCATGGAATATCCCGAGGAGTCGCTCTTCTCAGCATCAGACACAGAAGCTGACTCTGCGATCTCGTTGGTTAAATGTCTGAACAGTGCTTCGCCATCTTCTTCGCTTGTTTCTCGTCGCAACGATAATTCTGCCATCGTAAGCCTGAACAACGAATTGCTGAAAGCCAAAAAAAGCAACTGGGAAGTGCTGGACGCTTTGGCAAAAGCTTATCGAGATATAAAAGATCTACGTTTGCGAGAAAAACGAGTGAATGCTATTTTGTCGAGCTGTGACGGTAAACTCAGTGGTACTAATGGCTTGAGTGAAAGCGTGTTGTTACCGGACAGCAAAATTATAGAGTTGCAGCTTTCTTTGAGGAGAGAAGAATCTGTGAAAACGCGAGAAGACTTGCGTGCTCTTATGAAAGAGCGAGACAAGCTGAAAGAACAACTAAATAAGAGTGAAAATGAACGGCGTTTGGTTTCGCTTACAAGCGATCATAGAGAAAGGGAGTTGGAGCTTTGTCAGAGCCATATCAAAGATTTAACAGCCGATATCAAAGAGAAAGATGCCAAAATATCATCCGCTCAAGACAAGTTGGCTGCCTTTGAAAAAGATATAAAACACAAGGACGAAGAACTTGAGAATATACGAGACGAGAAATATTCATTTAGGGATGCAGTAGTCCGGAGTGAACAAGAGATAGAAGCTCTGACAGAGAAACTTCAAAACCTCCTACTTTCCAAGGAGGAAAATGCCAACAATTCAAATTACACGGGTCACTCACTTGGAATTCAAAATGAGATTTCGCGCCTTCCAAGCGAAGGACAAGTCATTGTGGAGGACGCAAGACTTCAAGATGAGATACGCGCCCTGGAGGCCAGACATGACGAAGACATGAAAGTCATCAGCGATTTGAGTGCACAACTTAAAGAATGGGAAAGGTTTGTAAAAGCTTTGAAAGTTAGTTTTCTCTTGTAAAAATATCCAATATCATTTTAATCTACTATATTTACACTATCAGCTATACTGATGTTGTCGAGTTACTTCGTATTTGTTATGGAATATTGCAAAAAATATATCGGCGCAAACGAGATATTAATAGTTGCGTGTATTACAAAAGATTCAGTCGGTTTAAAAAATCACTTAACAGCCTTTTTTTCCCCAAACCTATCGACCGAAAGGTAAAGTCCTAGCAAAACACAATATAATTTCAATGTAGTTGCTCGCAGCTGCCAATTGAACTGAAATAAAATTTCTGTTTGAACGCCTGCCTTAAAAAATGTCCTAACAAATATCCTAAAACAGCCTAACGTAGTTTATCGTGGACTTTTCGTTGATTGGATTCATTCGCTTCCAGATGGTATTATAGTTCTGCGGAGATTTTGATTCAAAATGTTTTCTCTATTATAGAAGCATCACTCTGTAATAAAATCTTAAGAAAGAGGGATAATTGGTTCTTTTGTGGTGAGTATTTTAGGAACAATGTCGAAAGGATTCATTATATTACACAGCGTAAAATGAAAACGGAGAATTTCTCATCAGCAGAGTTAGCTTCAAAAAATTTAAATTTAAAATTGAAAAGTTATAATGTCTTTTAAAGGAAACCTTAAAATAGCTGAAACAATTATTTTTGTATATAATTGGTTTGCAACCAGATCTCCTCGAGTGAAATAGCGAAGAGAAAAAATTTACTTTATATCGCGGAACTAATCTGTTTTAATGATTATTTTGAAACCCATTCTGTCTAGATGGGATAAACAAAAAGACAAAGTAAATCTTAGAAGTCCTTTTTTAAATGCAGAAACATCTGCTCTGAAAGAGCTTTCGATTGCAATATGCATTTCGTGGTATATGTGCTTGTTCATCTGAAAGCAGAAAAGTGTAACGAGAAACTGAACCATTATAGTTGAAGTGTAAAACGTCAGTTGTAAATATGCCTAGATTTTCTTTGAACTCCTTACGCCCGACATCAATATGTATATTCTTCGGACTGTTCTCTATACATTTCCTATGAGACTATCAAGACGAATTTGTTTAACAATGAAGGGCTTCTTTAATTTACGATCATGCTGCCTTCAGAAGAAGGCAGCATGGTCGAGGGGTCAGCGTGTCGTACTTGCAATCCGTCGCTCCCGGGTTCAACTCCCCGCCCTGGCCACTACTTGGATTTGTTTCACGGTAGCACCGAGTCTCAGATCCTCGACCAAGCTTGTAATATAGCCAACTGGTTTGCCTTCGGTTAGTTGGGATTCTTAACAACGTTATTCTCAATTTGAATTATTTGTTTAAGTTGTTTCGTGGAAAACCTGTAAACTAGCTTCTAGCTAAGTGTTTCTCCACGTTAATTTGTTTATTATTATCATTATTATTATCCTTTATTCTCATGACCCTAATATTCGATTCAGAAGCGATGCTGTGAGGGGAAACTGGATGCTTGTCACCTCTAGGAGTTAAAGGGTTAATTTGAGAGGAAAATGTTTTGCGTTAGCTGTGTTTTCAATCAGACCGGGATTGTAATGGTTTTATTGACATAAGGAAGAGAGTTCTGTTGTTTCTATTTCTGAGTCAGGGTAAGCATCGTTTTATCGTCCTTGTGCTAGAGCAATTTTCAATCGAGTGTTGATCGGCTAGTTTTTTCCTTCAAGTCGTCGGTAGTTTCTTGTGATATTTTACGTTGTACTGATAGGCCATTTGAATTACCTTGGTTTTTATTTCTGGGGCTGGTTTACACGTACGCAAGCATATAAGCGCATATGAGACATTGAATCCTAGTAAAAGTACTATCATTGATGGCTTAGGTAAGACTGTTTTATTTATCCTAAGTAAAGGCCTCACTTGACTGTTGTTAATGGCATATCCCTTAAGCCGGCGACATAACAGGCGCGTTTAGGTCTGTGCCTTTTGCTTGTGTTTAGGTTGTGTCGCACGTGTAAACCAGCCTTTGTAAGAATAGCTAAGCTGTTTGATCAGTTTTTTTTATAGGGTGTCTATATCATACATTTTGCCCAAGTACATTTGGTAATAGGTAAGGGGTTACGTCAAAAGCAAAGAGATGTTGCGCTTCTGGATATCTAAACTCTATTCTGAGCGTACTCAGTTTCTAAATGATACGAATATTTCTTTACTGGCTTACAGCTCATGGAATTAAGGCTATAAGCACCCTATTAACGAGGGATGTTCTTGGACAAGACAGTTAACTATCACAGTGCCTAATGTGATGGCTTAAAGCTGAGAGGTAACTTGCGCTGGGCTTCCCAGAGAAACAACATTAATACTCTTCATGCTCATGAAACGAGGGGGCGTCATCAGTAATGGGCTAACAGGATTGAGAGACTACACGTACTTCGTGGTCATATTTGTTCTGAGTTTTTTTTCCCTTTTTTTTTACAGGATTGTTACCGACATGAATAAACTTGTGGAAGATACGAACCAGCAGCAGATTGGAGCTAGGAACGAAATTGCTGATTATGTAAGAATGCTTGAGAAACAGTTAAGGGAATTAAAGAAGAACAAATCGATCCCCAACAAGCAGAGTGACTCTACGCGAGATAAGAGAAAGTGGTCTACTGAGGCCACTGCACAGAGTGAGCCTGCAAAGATTGAGAATTTAGAAGAAGATGATTGGCAGCACGTTAGCCCAGAGCTAAACCCATCGGTTGATGTGAACTTTGTAGATTATCTAAAATGTCCCCAATCGTCTGAGGTTGATGGGGAGAAGGATTTGAAAGACGCTTTGCGAGACAGCCAAGTTATTGCTGTTGATTTGGACGAAGTTTTCGCGCCAAAAGAGGAAAGCATCGACTTTTGTCTCCAATCTTCGGCCGGACTTGTCGTTCAGCCTGAGGAGGTGCGAATGGCCAGGGTGGCATGTACAGAGACCTTTGTAGCCCACGTTCCTGAGGTAAGAACCGTTGCCAATGTTCCTGATGCGAGAACAACGAACGTGAGGGATTCTCATGTCTCCGTCCAACGCCCAGCTCGGAAAACGGGCTCAGGGAAAAGAAGAAAGCTCCCCCAGGCTACCAGGAAAACACGTGCCTTAAGCACAGACAGTGAATTATCACAATCTGACGAAACACTGTCGATAACGTCATCTGAATCACATATATCCCGCGATACAACAAACATGCGTAGGGTTTCCCGCGGAGGGTCAGGTCGGCGACTACCCACTGTCCCTAGTGGAGAAGAAGTCGGTGTAGGTCCAGTGAAAGCAGATGTTTCGGCTGCTAGAGAGCCCCCGGCAGTGGCGTCAATTTATCAGAAAGGATTAACTGTTCCTAGTAATCTTCGGCAAGATTCTCGATTTGGTGAAAGTTTCAGAAATTCTCCTATGCTCACCAACAAGGATCGTAAGTTCAGTATCAGCAAGCTTAGGAGGAAGTTTACCAAAGAAAAGAGAGGTCCAGGTAGGATACGAGATCACTTTCTGAAATAAAAATATAGCTTGATTCTCTCGGTCTGAGTGAAGTGAATTAGGTTGTCTGTCAGTTTCTCTGTCATTTTACGTATAAGGTGGTTTTATTTACGCTTTGAAAGTGAAAAGCGGCGAAGCCGCACAACTTCATACCGTTCATTTTCACTGCTCCGCAGCGTGGCGCTTCAAAGTGCACACAAAACTACACAGGTTATCTGTCTGTCTGTCTGATATTTCTAGCAAGAAGAGTTGCCCCACCCATGCGGTTTCTTAAAAAAAGTGAATTTACGAAGATGCTTGCTTGACTGTATTTCGACTTTTTCTTTTGTCCAATAAACAAGCGCTCATAAAGTTTTTTAAAAAATTTGAGGTGTAAACGCTTTGATTGAGCCTGGATGGGTCAATGGTTTTGAAGAAGCAATTATGGTCCTATCAACGCCCAGACATATAGGTCTTTCAAATAGTGTTAAGTCATCCTTAATGTTGGTTTACTTCATCTTGCGGAAAAGTGTTTAGAAATAGGACACTTGACATGATGTTTTTTTTGGTATAATACCTTGGTAATTGCAGCTCTTTTTTCTTTAAGAGTACTTCCCCTCTTTTAAGTTCCTTGGTGGTTTTACCACGGCGTGAAAATTGTGATAAATGGTCATTTAAATAAAAAAACTCATCTCTCAAGATTATGATTACTCTAAATATTCCCTGACCTCAATAGCTGTTAAAACTCGAATTCGAAAGTTCGTTTCTCGG